TGTTTTTGACCACGTCTCTTGCAAATAAAGCCTTGCAGATGGATCCGCACGCTTCCTGTGTTCCCTCAGTTACAGAGTGCCTCTACTAACGTAATAAAAAAACGTGCCACGGTCACATATTGAACACGTGTTTTAGTGCCGTGAAACATGCAGTGAGGCACGTAATACCCTACGTATTTCCACGTGTTTCCAATGAGCCTGGGTTGGGGGAAAAAATCTGAATTGCAAGATATACAATCAGAAATCTGGATTTTTTTTTCCTCTGAATTCTGAGTTTACATCTAAAAAATCTTTCTTTTTTAGTTTTTTTTTCTGTTGTTTTGCTTGTTTCTTCCACGGACTAAATTATCTGATGAATTATCACAATTCTGACTGTTTTCATGCTTGGCTTTATATTTCACAATTCCTGCTTTTCATCTCAGAATTGCGACTTTGAGTTAGTGTCTCAGAATTCTAATTTAATATTTTGGAATTTCTGAGTTTATATTTCGGAATTCTGACTTTATACAGGCCTAGCCTATTGCAAATCAGATTTTTTTCCCCATCAGAATTGTAAAAAAAAAAAAAACTGTCATAATTGTGAGATATAAACTCAGTTTAAACTCTGTTGTTTAGGTGTGTGTGAAACCGTCATGTTCCTACAACAATTAAAAAATGTTTCTTTTTTTTTTTTGTAGAACTGCAGAATTGTGAGGACTGAATTGTCAGATAAAAAGTCATGATTACCTTATTTTTTTTTTATACGCGTGGTGGAAACAATTTTCCAGTCCACTCAAATGAGATAAAGACTTTTATTTTACATGGAGCGGGTCGCCTCATAAGGGCCAGCATTATTGATCACATGACCAACCAAATACTACTGCAGAATAAATTAATCATAGCCAGCTATTTCTTCAATGTCATGTGAAACTAAAACATGCTACCCATCACTGGTGTCTGCAGGCATGTGCTCTAGAAGTGAAATGTGCTGTTGTTGCATTGGCTGATTCAGTGTTGATGTGTTTTGGCTGCATGATCAAACTAACAGAGCAATGAGTCACAGTGTTACTTTTTGGGGAAATTAACTTACTATTTTCTTTACAGTTGACTCTGCATACTAACATATGAGGAGGAGAATGTATTTTAACATTATAAGAAATAGAAAAAGTCACTGGAATTATTTTTACTTGACTTTTGCACTGAAAAAAATCACATTGGTCATTGCATTGATTTCTTCTTCTTTGTTTTTTATCTATGTATGTGATTGTGGTTATATTGTGTTCACTTGTTAATGAACTAAATAGTATGATATTGGAATGTATGGCCTTCTATTTATTTATTTAACTGTTTATTTTACTACCGTTATGCTGTTATATTATTATTCACTACCCTTTTTTAGTTGTTGCTTTTTGGTTTGGAGTTGCTGTTTATTTGTGTAGCGTGTAGGTACTTCTGTTAGTATTTTATTTTCTCCTTCCCTTTTGTTTCGTGTAGAATGCTGCTCATGCATAATACAACCGATCCTTTATTGTATAACTCTGTTTTCCCTTCTACTTAAAGAGTTAACCTTGTTCTATTTCCATTTGCTGCATGGACCCGTTTATTAGAAAGAGATGAATTCATTCACATATTAAGGGTTATAAGTACATTTACACGCATCAGTCAGTCTGTATCTGTAATTGTATGGTGTAACCTGCTTATGTGGAGAAAGTCAAAGGGGAAAAAAGTCATTTTAGTTTGGAGAACTATATTCTCAACTTGTGTTATTTAACTAGATGTTTAAACTCAACAACTGTAAACAAGCATTTTTATTCAAAACCTCATAGTTACTCATCTTTAACCTTTGTGAAAATTGTTTGAATGCTTTAAAATTGGTTAAAAAAATCAAAGAAAAAGAATAAAGATACTTATGAGGAAAAAACTGGCATAAAAAATGTACCTAAATCTGTTAAGATTTGAATACAAGCATATTAAAAATGTATATAAAAAAAGAGTTGATTCTGTATTTTTTTGTGTTTCTCAAATGTATCTAAAACTGGGGCTAATTGGTTTTTAGTCAAAATGCTTATTTTCTCTTTAAGTTATTTTGTATGTTGAGTTCACATCTAATTAGAAAATGGGAAAGTTTTTTGAGAAATTTGTCTTTCAAACTAAAGTTCCAGTATTAATATCAATTGGTTAACAAGTCAACACAATATAATTACACTGACGGGTGTGTTTTTTTTATTTTATTAAAACATTATATTAGTATTATTATGCCAATAAGCCGATAAAAAGTAAAATAATTATTTGATTGTACCTAATTAAATTTTTCAGTAAAATTTTTTGTGTGTGTAGTGAAAACCCTCCGTACAAAAATGAGTAGTCAATAAACTAACCCAACTGAGTAACTAGAAATAGCATGTTTGCATATAATATCTAAAACAAAACAAGTAAACAGCATTTGAAATGTTGACTGCATACGAGGAAGAGAAGCCTGTTCTTTATAAACAACAAACGTACACACTTCAGGCATTTAGATTGAAATTGATGGGCCATAATACAATGAAGTTGGAACAAAACAAAAAATCAAAAATTGTTTCACAAAATCCATATTGTGAGTGTATGGTGTGTCGACTGTAACCGTTTTCCTGGGCATAGAATAGTCTAGATTTTTTGTAGTACAGACGTTAACATTTTAATATTCGTGTACATAGAGAAAGTGACTTTCAAAATTAAAGAAATAGTCAGACAACAAGTCACGGTCATGTGTAAAAGTCAAGAAATACATTTATATAACCCAGCTTTCACTTCTGCTTTTTTTCAGATATCGGCAGATGTTGCTTTTACAAACAACAAACCCAATCCAAAGAAAAATCATCTTTTTTTCTTACAGTTTCTTATATTTTTGTTTTATAGTTTTCCATTGTATTTTAAACAAATTTGTCCTAAATGAATAATATATACTCTTATATGGTTGTTTTGTTGCACAGATTTGTTCATAAACAGCAAAGTAACAACTAACATTTAGAGATGTAAAGATAAACCTAATCATTTACATGTATGCTTTTAGAACATGCTTTTAACCAAAAAGTAGCAAATGCAATTTGTCAGTATTCATAAAGAAATAACAAACAAACAAATGAAAGAAAGAAACAATGTTGCCTTTTAATTAATCAATTTTAGTTTGTTATATTTTAGTTACCTAATCTTATAAAGTTATGTATGCCTAAGTTATAAATATAACTAGTTTTTCTAAAACTTCCCTTTTTAATTATGTATTTTTAAACTATATTTTAATTAACTAGCCTATATTATAGTTATTTTAGTTATACCAAAATTTAAATAGGCCTATAACTATATTTTACTGAATAAGTAATAAATATAACTAGTTGTTCTAAAACATTTCCTTTTCAATTTTTCATTAATTTATGTATTTATTTATTTATTTATTTTCAAGGTCTTATCTGGCTGGAGGTTTCTTTGCCTTCTCCTGTACTCTCTCTCTCTCTCTCTGTGTGTGTGTGTGTGTGTGTGTCTGTCTGTGTGGGTGTGTGTGTCTGTTGTGTGTGTGTGTTTGTTTGTGTCTGTCTGTGTGGGTGTGTGTGTCTGTCTCTCTGTGTGTGTGTTTGTGTGTCTGTCTGTGTGTGCGTGTATCTGTGTGTGTGTGTGTCTGTGTGTGCGTCTGTGTCTGTGTGTGTGTCTGTGTGTGTGTGTGTCTGTCTGTGTGTCTGTGTCTGTGTGTGTGTCTGTCTGTGTGTCTGCGTGTATCTGTGTGTGTGTGTCTGTGTGTGTGTGTGTGTGTGTCTGTCTGTGTGTGTGTGTGTGTGTGTGTGTGTGTCTGTGTGTGTGCGTGTATCTGTGTGCGTGTCTGTGTCTGTGTGTGTGCGCCATTTATACTTCTCATGTGAGATTTTAAACATCAATGGCCCTGGAGGAGAAAGGTGAGCCAGCGTGACCCTAGATCAGCAGTAAGACTATCCCAGCGCTGCTTTTCTAACAGAAGAGCCTCCTACCGGCCCCTGAGAAGGAGGAGCCGCAGCAACTGCCATTAAGAGGAGGTGCCAAACTACACCAGGAACACATTCCACTGGCGGAGAAACTCAAGCTTTGTGCTCCTTATCTTATTCCTGATTCACACCTTTCCTGATTTCAAACACTTTGTGCATTTAACAATTAGTAAATCAAAAAGTAAATGTTTATTTTGAATAGTTTGTGTTGTGCTATTAGCTGAATTTACTTGCCTGAAGATAATAAATCCTAAAGTCATATTAACAGTTTAATCAAAACTGTACAAACTAAAGTAATAAAACGGCTCATTGTAAGTACCTTTGATATATTTATTCAGGATTATAAAGTAGCAATGCTTTCATAACCAGCAAAACGGGTTAACAGTGTAAATGTTCAAAAGAAATACTTACAAAAATATATTTGAAAGACACTTATTTTACTAGAAAATAAATAGAAAATTAGAATGTTCACACTGAAAACATGGCTTTAAAACCATTTTCAATTGCTAGTAAATTTCACAAAAAAAGCAAGCAACGAATTAAATGTGAAAAATATATATATTTTATAGTATTTTAGAAACAATATTTTTTCAAAGCAGATCATGCTTTTATAGTTTTCATTGAACAAAAAACAGGCAAAAGAATAAAAAAAAACATAATTAGCATTTAGTGCAAACAAGGACTAAAACTGTACGTGGTTATAATAAAACCTTTCTTTCTAAATAACATTATTTCTCTAAAACAGGTTTCAGAACGGATCTAACAAACGTGTGAACACAAAAGAGTTGTATATCAGTTTGTAATTCTGAAACTCGGGATTTGAGATATAACACAATATTGATATAATTGAAAAAAAAGAACACCATAGATCGTCACCTATTACAGCAGCCTGAAAACAAGTTAGCACTAAACTATAGCATGCATGAATAGGCCTACTTAACATGTGAGACATCAGTAGATTAAAAACATCATTAAAAACTATATTTGACTCCACTTTAACACAAACAGCTAAATATTGACAAAAGGCACGAGTATGCACAAAATGCGAATTCTGATAAATTGTTAATTTAAATAAAACAATGCAATAGTGCACATAGCTTATTTTAATAATCCCCCGAATATTTATCTTGCACTTTCCAAGCACGCTCCCCAGCACCGCGCGACGCTTCTTCGGACATTGCGAGACTGAAAGGCTGTGGACCGCTCGCATCTGCGCGAGACCTTGACCCACATCGTTGTTTACAGCTGAGGCGTGCTGGATTGGCGGAGAGACGGCGGAGATCGGAAGTAGTTTGTGCATGCTAATGAAGGAGTTGGGGATATTTACGTTCAACGGGAGCCGCCCTTCATTCACCACATGGTTAAAAGCGGAGCACGTTCGCGCCACTTTCGCAATGTTACTACGGTTTTGTAACGCTACCCACGGCGTGCGCTGGTGGTGTATTTCTACCGCTAGAAGTTCACCGTTTAGTTTCGACAGTGAGCGGTAAGTGTGTGCACGAGTGAGTGAAGATGGTGGAGTCTACCAACCAGTGTCTTACTACGCGCGTGTTGTTGACATGAAACCTGTTGTTGCCTTTCTCGGCCGATTCCCTTCGCGAAGTCCAGCATGTTCTCGTGCAAACGTCTAACCCGTTCACTTTACTGCACCACAAGCCTAATTCCGGCCGCTCAGAGAAGCAGTTTGGGGTATAACACTAGTAAGAGGCGCGTGGTAGCCCACCATAGTTCAGCGCATGAGGCAGATTTGAAAAGCGTGCGCGAGGCTGCTGCGGTGCCAAACGAGCGCTCGCGCTAGTTACCGTACACTCCATCGGCGCGTTCCAATGCGTTCCGAACCGCTCCTCGAGAACTTCTCATGGGCCGAGCGCTCCAAAATCGCTGTGCTTTGTGAACGCTAGTGGTTGAGTTCGCTCGCCACCAGAACAAAGCGACAGCACATGGGGCAGCTGCAGGCCGCGCGGTGCTGTGTTAGCAACACTGCTAGGCTAGGTAACGCTCAGCGAGTTGGAAATGTAACGTTACACCCAACACTTGCACTCAAATACTTGTGGCGCGTTTCGGTCGACCAGTAAATGCAGAATAACGGAGCTTGGGGCTTTCCGCAGATATCGGAATATTCGTGCGTTCTGCGCGCATTCGAACGCGCGTGCGGTGGAACGCGTTGGGCCGGTCACGTTTAAGAATAGAATTTTCAAAGCGTTCTGTTCCACACAAGGGGCTTCGGCGTGAAAGCAAACGCTGTTCATGTAGACTCACGTCGGGTGAGTTAAACTGAGTCAAACCCAAATGAGCTGGGGCTGTTGAACGTGTTTAAGCGTGCGTTCCACGCGTTTCACCGCCGTTGTTCGGAGTTGTAGCGCACTTTTTTTACCTACTAGCTTTGCAAGTTCCAACCCAAACAACAAGCGGAGTCATGAACACTCGACTTTGCCCTTGTTTTTAGTTTGTTTCTCGAACACAACTACTGCGGACGCCATATTGGTGCACATCATGGGGGAGGGGTGTGCGCATGCGTCTTGGAACGCCGGTTGTGTACTAAGCTTTTTATTTATTTATTTTTTTTTTAATATGCGTTTTCTAGATTTTCAGTGTGGCACGTGCATAGGTGTTTAGCAACTATTTAAAAAAAAATATATATATTATATATATATTATATATTATTTTTTTTGTTTGTAGAAAATCCTGTTAGTGTTCATTGCACCTGTGCTTTGGAACCTAGATATTTTCTTGAAACTAAATGTAAACAAATGTGTACTTTTTCCCCCCACTCTTTTCAGAAAAACCATCGACCTCCTCCAGTCACCTTATAGCGGAGTCCACATTATTGGCATGAAACTAACGCCATCCCAAAGATGGATCTGCGCTGGTCAGCTGCGTGTCGGCGTAGTGTCAAAGTGCTTACAGTGCAGGTAGTTCTGTAAAATCTACTGCAGTGGAGGCACTTCAAGCTCTACTTTGACATGAACGCACACGAGCGGCGACGTCAACTACTGCTTATGCTAAGGTGCATTTAGTGCAGATAGTGAAATAGACTAGCACCTACTGCCCTAAGTGCCCCTTCTGGCATAAGGGGCTGGCAAATCCCGCTGTCCCCTATTCTTTGATTTCATTGCAGTTCTCTGCTAGTTTTGCATAGTTGCACTACAAGAAATATTGAGTTGTGCAAATCTATGCAAAACTGATGGTGGCCTGCTTCCCCATCCTTTCCTGTGCTTTTGAGCGGCTTTTGCTTTAGCGTGCATTCTTTCCAGGTTAACCCCTGTTTGTCGCGGCTCTGCGCTGTGAAACTCTCACTCTGGTTCCAGCAGTATTAAAGTGCTTATAGTGCAGGTAGTTTATTAAAATGCATATCTACTGCAATGTGAGCACTTCAAGTACTTCTAGATGCGAGCATCGCGGAGAGAGAGCGTCACGCTTTCCTGTGCACACTGTCCTGGTTCGTTTTGCTGGTTTGCAGTCAGCGTTCGTGTCGTTGCTGTGCAAATCCATGCAAAACTGATCATAACAGTGAGGACTCTCCGCTTCCCGTCACTTTCCAGCATCCCTTTCTTTGCAGGTTGGGATCAGCCGCAATGCTCTGCGCTGGAAGTATTGCACTTGTCCCGGCCTGTGAAGAGCATGGGAAATTGTTCAGCTGCTTTTGTGTTCTTTAATACATTTAGACAAGTTTTTTTTTTTTTTTCCTGATTTGTGTTTGTTTGGAATTTGATCATCTCAATAAAAGTTTTAAATGCACATTTTCTTGTGTGGGAAGTTGTTTTAATAATTCAGGCTGTTGAAATCAAATTTTTTTTTTTCCAGTTTTTCAACTCTTGATTTGTTTGGGTTTGTATTAAAACATGACCAGTATTAAGTTTATTATAGGTGAATGGGATTTATCAGGTTTAATGTTCACATGGTGTCAGTCAATGTTTGAACTTAGTGATTAAAAAAAAAAGTAGGTATGGGAATTACGTAGTTTTAATGTATCCATACATGAGCCTTTAGATTCAGATAAACACATTTGTGCAACTTTTACTTATTCAGACTTAAATGCATTCAAAGCATTTAAGCTTAGATTTTTTTTTTGCACTTTTTTTTTTTCCTGAATAGTTTTTTATTATTATTATTTTTTTTATGTATATACATTTTTTTAATAAGATGCCTTGCAGATTTTTTTTGTCAAGCTTGCAGATAACTGTATGAACACTAGATAGCAGTGTTGTACTTAGAATAATCTAGAACGGCTCGCGTTCAGTATTTTAGAGCTTGTGTGTTTGACTACTTTGTGAAAACGCATGCTTTTATTACATAAAGAGTTAAGTTATCTGAGTCTGTTGCTTTAGCTGACCTGATTTGTGTTTGTTTGGAATTTGATCATCTCAATAAAAGTTTTAAATGCACATTTTCTTGTGTGGGAAGTTGTTTTAATAATTCAGGCTGTTGAACGCAATTTTATTTTTTTTTTTTCCAGTTTTTCAACTCTTGATTTGTTTGGGTTTGTATTAAAACATGACCAGTATTAAGTTTATTATAGGTGAATGGGATTTATCAGGTTTAATGTTCACATGGTGTCAGTCAATGTTTGAACTTAGTGATTAAAAAAAAAAAGTAGGTATGGGAATTACGTAATTTTAATGTATCCATACATGAGACTTTAGATTCAGATAAACACATTTGTGCAACTTTTACTTATTCAGACTTAAATGCATTCAAAAGCATTTAAGCTTAGATTTTTTTTGCACTTTTTTTCCCCTGAATAGTTTATTATTATTATTATTTTTATGTATATACATTTTTTTAATAAGATGCCTTGCAGATTTTTTGTCAAGCTTGCAGATAACTGTATGAACACTAGATAGCAGTGTTGTACTTAGAATAATCTAGAACGGTTCGCGTTCAGTATTTTAGAGCTTGTGTGTTTGACTACTTTGTGAAAACGCATGCTTTTATTACATAAAGAGTTAAGTTATCTGAGTCTGTTGCTTTAGCTGAGGCACCTGCTTTAACCCTAAAAAAGAAAAAAAATTAATGACTGAAATTATATTCCTAAAGTTGCATTTATGGGTGTTACATTAATATTCATTTGTGCCCTGGATTTGAAATGTGCAAAACTTGAGAATTTAACAAGTCTTTTTCATTTTGCCGTTCCAAACGTTATATGTATTGTTTTGGAGTCTTTAAAATATGAAAATCTATTACAAAAGTTAAGTTTTAAATTCTATTATGGCCTAAAGATGGACTATTAAGAGTGAAGAATAGACGCTGAAGAATACCAAAAAAGAGGTAAATATCACTTTTGGACATTTTAGTCTTTTAATTCACATTTGTCAAATATTGCAAAAAGTGTTAATGCATTAAGATACTAGCTATTAGCAAGACTAAAAAGTTTAGTGTGAAATCAACATGATTTGAGATGTGATGAATGAGACCTCAAACTAGTGTTTTTTGTGAAACGCATGAACCAAGTGTAGATTCTACTAAGAGGAGTTTGTTGAATCATGTTGATGTCTAAGTCGAGCTCACCCTCGCACCTTTATCATATATGAAGGAGTCGTGCACTAGTAGTGTCCTGGAGCAAGCAATGGTCGTCAAGAGTTCCAGATGTCGAAATAACAAAGCCGAGATGACTGACTGCACCTGAGTCTGTCTGACCAAACACCCGTATACTTAAACCTTGTTTTTATCAGTCATTTTAACCAAAAATTGGTAATCTAGTTTTTTTTTAAATTAGGTATCGCTTGTCTGGTTTGCCATAATTAATTAATAGCCTCCTACTCCTGGCATTTTTTTCTAATTGTGGAATCTGGCCAGATGGGACATTTTTAAAGCAACTTTTATCCTGCCGTCTCCCATTGTTTGGAAGCGTCCCCATGGGACACACAGCCTACCAAACTTCTTTGTGTTGCATCTGTCATATGTTCAAGTTCACTTCTGAAAACACCTGTACCACACACTGGAAGGCACCTGAGACTCCGTCTGTATTGAGACATTCAGTATTGGAACAATCATTGAAATAATCATATTTGCATACATCTTTTAACAGTAGCAGTGTCTGTGATTCACACGAGCTCGGCTGCTGTCGGATCGTCTTCTGCAGATGTTAAAGCTCCTCATGCATGACAGTTCTTTGGCTCCTGACTACAGTAAGATTATTGAAGGGACCATTAGATTTACTGAATATTCTGTATTTGGTGTTGTACGTGAGAATGTATTGACCCATATCGTGTCCACATTTAGTTTATTTAAAGAAATTGACACTTTTATTCAGAAAGGACACATTAAATGAATCAGAAGTGACAGTAAAGACATTTATAATGTTACAAAAGATTTCTGTTTCAAATAAATGCTGTTCTTCTGAACTTTGTTCATCAAAGAATCCTGAAAAATAAAACGTATCTCAGTTTCCATAAAAATATTCATCAGCACAACTGTTTTCAACACTGATAATAATCAGAAATGTTTCATTTAATCAGCAAATATTATACTGATTTCTGAAGATCATGTGACTCTGAAGACTGGAGGAATGATGCTGAAAATACAGCTGCGCATCACAGAAATACATTAGATTTTAACAGAGATTCACATAGAAAACAGCTATTTTAAATTATAATAATAGTTCACAAATTTCACTGTCAAAGTTTTAAATAAATATTTCAATTAAAAGCAGCCGTGGTAAGCAGAAGAGACTTCTCTCAAAAACACTGAGAAAAAGAAATAAAAAGACAACTTACTGACTCCAAACTTCAAATTCAAACAAAAATGTTTCTTGGAAAAATTGGTTACTTCCCAAGAAGTTTAAAGGTTCTTATACAATCATTTTGGAGGGCAAGCAGCAACAGCAGAAACTCAAACTCCAGTAAGTTTTTCAGCGAATTTAATGGATTCAGTGTTTTGTAGTGTTAGTTTCTCACAATGTACATCATTTCAAAAGCAGCTTTATAGCAAAACATTTCTGTAAAAATCCTTCAGTCTGAATTACTATAGCCTCCATGTTTCAGTCTTTTTAAACTTTCAGACAAGGCTTTACTTTACTTTTCAAGACATCCTTGACTCTTCTAGTCGTTTTGCTTTTGTGTCTCCTAAGGATTATTTTAATACACTGCACATTGGAATATTGAAAGTTTTTTGCGAGTCATACTTTCAGCATCCCGTGCTTGAGACAGAAAATCATATGACGGGCATCTTGACACTATGAAATACAGTCTCAAATAAACAACAACAATAAGTGTCAGATTTCTGGACTATAATTTTTTCTGTGTGACCAAAACAAAATCTTCCATCGTTTCTTAATTTATTTTCTTCATTTTCTAGCAACTGTATTATTTTAGGCAAAGTTAATTCACTTTAACAGCTTGCCACTTTTCTGAATATTGCCTTCAATGAAAACGTTTTGCATGCATTCGATCAGTTAAGTTTCGCTCTCTTTCCTCGCGGTACGTTTACAGCTTTTCTAGCTGATTTTCAGGAACCAGAACTTCACTTCAGTCCTTCATGGGGTCTGTCTGATGATTTAACTGCAGATTAACAGTAGTAAAGATGCCCATTATATGATTTTCAATCTAGAATGTGAGTGCAAAAATTCTGGCTAAAATATATATTTTGTTAAATATTTACATCCAAAAGTGGAAGAACTTAAAATCTGTTCCCCATTTACAACAGTACCATACACTGCAGTATATAGAGTGTGCTCCAGCAATATTGACAGACTTTTTATCTAAATGCAGAGCAATTTGTGCAGTAAACCACTGTTGTACTGAAATTATACCAAACCGTGGATTCAAAACTGAGGTAAGAAACTTATTTTCTCCATGGAATAAAAATATAAAAAAGTATTTGTCACTTTTCTGACTTTTTTTCCCCTTACAGTTGCAAGTTATAAACTCATAATTGTGAGCTTACATTTCAAAATTCTGATAAAGTTTGAGTTTGCATCTTGAAATTCTGACTTTTTTCTCAGAATCTTCAGTTTGCGTCTTTAAATTCTGACTTTTTTTCCCCCAGAATTTTAAGTTTGCATTTCAAAATTCTGAGAGAAAAAGAATTTGTTTACATCTCAAACCTATGACTTTTTTGCTCAGAATTTGAAGTTTACATATTTCAATTCTGACTTTTTCTCTCAGAATGCTGAGTTTACATCTTATTTATTTTTTTGTTTGTTTAATTGTGACCATCTCAAAATTCAGACTTTTCTTGCAATTGCTTGATACAAAGTTACAGGGTTTGTGTGTGTGTGTGTGTGTGTGTGTGTGGTGAAATCAGTCTTCCATAGGCCACAACATGCACCAGCACCAATGTGAAATCAGACCGTATATAAAGTGACAGGAGCCGATGGGAACCTTATCTTGAGTGTCTACTCATTATTCACCAAATCTCAGTTTCTGAGGGTCTTTTGCGCTGTAGTAACAACATGTCAGGTTAGTGTGAGTCTCTCTTCTTCTCGCGTTCGCGTCCATTGAATCATTTATTGCAGCAGCCTATGAAAGCATCATCAATCTTGTTTCGTCTGACCTAATGTGTTGTCAGCTGCTCTGTGTGTCCCCTTGTCCAGTCCCACTAATATGTTTCATAATGTCCTCTGGGCATGTGGAAGTACGGAGGTCATTATAGTTTGCAGCAGGCAGATGCGAGAGGAGGATTTGACTGGGATTTCACCAAGCAGCATCACCATGTTTTCAATGAGAGAAAATAAAAACAAAAGAAGTTTTTGTTAAAAGAACAGCACAAAAATACAGCTACAGCGACGACTTTATCATGAATGCAAGAGGTTGATCACAAGCAACTGGCTTTCTTCCCAACTGCATCCAGTGGAAATAGTTCCCAAGCCTCGTATGAAAGCATCTTTCAGTATGTTTTGGTATGTGAAGGACAAAAGCATGTTTAGTTTTTTTGGAATGATCCACTTTTTCCCCATGACCGTAATTCATTATCAACCGGTTGAAAAGCATGTTGGCATGTAACCAGCATCTCTACAACTGGACTGGCAGGGAACAGAAAGTTCAGCATGTAGCCGACAACTGGAAGTGACAAGGAAAGGATGAAATAGATTTATATAACAGCATTTTTGAGGTCATATGATTGTGGGATATTCTTAAATATCAGCTTATGTCCACTGAAACACTGCGTTATCTGTTCTAGAGGAAGGAAATATATAGTCTCTTGTTGAAAGATCCTTGAATGCTTATGAGTTTGTTTCTTCATCAGATTTGGAGAAATGTAGCATTGCATCAGTGTCTCAGCAATGGATGCTCTGCAGTGAATGGGTGCCGTCAGAATGAGAGTCCAAACAGCTGATAAAAACATCACAATAATCCACAAGTAATCCACAGCACTCCAGTCCATCAGTTAACATCTGGAGAAGACAAAAGATGAAACACATCCAGCATTAAGATGCTTTTAACTTCAAACCGTTGCTTTCAGCTAAAATATCCAGAGTCCATAATCCATAATAACGCTTCCTCCAGTGAAGAAGTGGTCTAGTCTGAATCAGGAGAGAAATCTGCACTTTGTTTCAGCTTTTGTCTTCTCCAGATGTTAACTGATGGACTGGAGTGCTGTGGATTATTGTGATGTTTTTATCAGCTGTTTGGACTCTCATTCTGACGGCACCCATTCACTGCAGAGCATCCATTGCTGAGACACTGATGCAATGCTGCATTTCTCCAAATCTGATGAAGAAACAAACTCATCTACACCCTGGATGGCTTGATAGTGAGTGCATCTTCATCACATTTTCACTTTTGGCTGAACTGTTTCTTAAGTGGCATCTGTTTACTGAGGAATAAAGTTTGCATCCTATAGAACAATTCCTCTGAAGCTCATCTGACTGACAGCTTGGCTTCCAAAGGTGGCCAGGGCCATGTATAACTGTGGATACACATATGAGTCAGCCAGAGCCTATGAGTGTAGGAGTGATGTTGGCAGAATGAGAACTGTGTGGAAAACAGCATGTACATAAATGTAAATACATCCCTCTCTATGTAACCTTACTCTAATTATAGGTTTAATTTATTTTTTATTTTTACTTTTTCGGGGGATTATTATTATTATTATTGTCGCATTTCAGACACGAGCATTTTATAAGCAAAAATAATGCAAACTCTTTACATGCAAATTTTCCTAAATAGTCTAATACTGCAATATTATGAAGACTAAAAAGGCTAGCATGCACTTTTTTTGGTTTTCTGCTTTTGGTTTTATTATTATTATGCTTTTTTTTTTTAGTGTGATAAAATATTTTCTAATTTCTGTGCATAAGAATTCTGAGATTGTAAACTTTACAGATATGTGGTTGTGGGTGGCATATTCTCTATATTCTTTTATACCTATCTTTCAGGCACAGTCCAGTTTCAGCCACCCTGAATGAAACTATTTTTAGTGATACCTTCTGCGTTGTGTTTTATAAGTTTTAACTGGGAACAAGCAAAATTGGAGGTGCATTATTTTATTTTCGAGATAAAAACTGAAAAGAAACAGTGGTGGGGTGCAAACGTCATAAAATACATAAGTGTGAAATTAAATATTTTAGCTCTAAAAATAACAAAGAATTTGGCTGCAATAGAAATCCATGACTTACAGTGTTCAAACTAACTACACAATGACTTTTTGAGGGGCTGGCTATTTTAAAATTTCTGTTGTTCCAAAAAGAACAAAAAGCCAAATTACAAATTCCCAACTACACAGAAAAAAAAGAATTTTTTACTTTTTTTTGTCTTGTTTTCCAGTTGCTATAAGTATATAGCCTAAACATTCTTAAATCACATTTACTTGAGAAGCAAAATGACATTAGATAAGTCTTTTTTTCTGGAAAAAAAGAGAATAATACAGAAAAATAAACATAATTCAAAGGATTTTCTTGCCCCACTGGCAGATATTTTTTCTCGATATTTTAAGCAAAAACTCACTTAATTGTGATGCATTTATCAGAAAACAAGACTTATTTTATGTCATTTTGCTTCTCAAGTAAATATATATTGATTTAAGTTTAGATATTTGTAATAGAAGACGAGACAAAATAAGAAAATTATTTTTTGCCGTGTAGCAAAGTTAGCTAAAGGTAAGTGATCTAAAAATGTAAACTAAAGTTTTTATATTCAATCTATAGTAAAGTGATACATAATAACATACTTTAGTAACGTACCGCTAGAAACCGACCGGAATGGAACCATGCTATGGTTACCGTCGCAGCTATTTGAAAATACGCACTGTAATAACTTGTAATCTAACTTTTTACCGAAAAATCCTTTTAGAACCTGTATATACTTGCATGAAAAATATGTGCACCTTTTTATATGTGAACACACCCCTTGGGGGAATTCAAGGAGCCATGGGGGCCCTCCCAAACTCTCCTCATAATTCGGAAATCACGTTTTAAAAAGTTCCCAGATATTCAAAGGCCGTGAAAATCGTGACTGATATATACTGTATATTCAGTTCTGCGCTGCATTGCATCTGAATACCGTTCCGTTCCTAAAACAGAGCGCGTTCAGAACGCTTTGATGACGGAACAGTCATGAAAAAAACCCCCCAAAAAACTCTGAAGTGAAGTTCCAGCTCTGCGCAACGCTCGAGGAACTCCGGCACATGTCAGAACGCGCGATGGTTTCAGCTGCGAAACTTCACGGTGCTTTGACTCCCAAATAGAGAGGGACCGGCGCGTGCTTTCTCTTAGATCAACTCCACGACAGCGGATCAGATCAACAGATTTCACCGGAGCTCGTGATGTTGGCTGTGCTTGCCGTTCTGTGTGCGCTCTTGGTTCCGTGCGTCCCGGTTGCGGCGGATCTCCACGCGGTGAACTGCACCCAGGTGAAAGACGCCTTTACCGACCTGGGTTACGGTCCTGCAAATGTTCCCACCGAGGAAACAGCAGGTATCGATTGATTTAAAACACCGTCTTCTGCTTAAACGCCGCTAAATATGGGAGACCGGGGCAAGTTGTCACACAGTCTGTGCGTCTCAGTTTTGTTTCGAGTCGAAGTCCGTGCTTGTTTTCTCTTGCAGTGGTTGTGTAGACGCTGGATTCATACGTCTAGTTCAAAATTAGAATAATATAATATTTGGTAACACT